AAGAGGCAATCATTGATTGGCAAGGTACACAATGGATGACAACTCAACTGGACTAAGGGTTTCGTGAGGCTTCTTACTCTGATATGGAATATTTGGAACCGAAGAAACAAGTGGCTACATGATGAAGATCTACAATCGGATAGTAATGTCGTTATGGCTGCATAGGGCTCAACTCGGATTTTGTTGAGACTAACGGATCTTACAACAAGGTGACCCCTCGAGAAGCCTCCATTCAGACCTCTTTATGGTCCCGCCCATTGCAGAATGTCGTCAAAATCAATGTTGATGGAGCCTTTAGTGGCCGAAGTGCAAAGGCAACAATTGAGGTCATCGCTAGGGATTGCAATGGCCTGTTTTGAGAGGTTTGGCCAATACGATCGACCTCCTCACACGGTCAAATCAACGGAAGCATTGGCATTCACTTTTGTTCTCCGTTTTACAGTTAAAAATAATTGGCGTCATGTGATTATCGAAGGGGACGTTATCTCTATTGTTAATAGGTTGACTAACTACAAAGAGGACATCTCAACCATCATATTAATGCTCAACAAAGCACAAGCGATTATGGACAAGAACTGTGACTTTCAGGTGTTTTATGTTAATCACGACACTAATAAGGTTGCACACTCCTTAGCTTAATGGACTTTGTCGATCCCTCAATCCGGTTTGGTTTTATTATGATGAACTTAATTATACCAAATTTGATGTAATCGTATATGCGATTAGAATTTAATGAATGTCCTCTTTTTATTAAAAAAATCATATTCATATATACTCTATATGTCACACCCTAAAATTTTGGAGTTTAAATTAATTTATTTTAATTCTCTTTAAAGGGACTAAATTATGATATTTTGAGAACTTTGGATCTGTTTTGTGAACTTTCAGTTAATCCAAGGACTTGACCCTTAATTTTCCCTTTATCTTTTAAGAAATAAAAATAAAACGTGGTTTTAAAGGCTTAAACTCACGTCCATCAACAAGGTTGACCACACCCTATCATTTAGACTAGGCCACTGTTGATATTTGATTTATTGGAATTATTTCTTAAAGGTAGCTCGGATTAAATCCCCAAATTAATTCCACTCTGGTGTGCATCGAACCAAAATCCAGAATTCTTAAACTTCCCTGTCACAACCTCACGTCGATGTGTCGTCTACCGTCGTCCGTGACGTGCACCACCTCATCGTCGCCATTGTCATACGACTGAAACCCATACCCCTCATCGAAAACCAGCGCCGTTCGTCGTGAAGGAAGCCTTGAAGCTTTATCGGAAACTAAATCATTGTATCTTTTTTTGCGATTTTATGCCGATCCTGAAGTCCGACGACCACATGGCCGACACCAGAAGAAGTGTATTCATGCTCAGATCAAAATCCAATGCTTCTCACATCGTGAACCACCGCTGTTTACCATGTGGAAGCGTTTGAAACTTCATCAGAGAACAAAACTATTACCCTAATGTTTTTGTGTTTTTTCGTTGATTTCGACGTCCATTTGTTTCACCGCCACTATTGTTGGAGTCTCCATGCTTTTTTGACAAAACATATCCGGTGGGTTACTTCATTTTCGACGTCTCCATCATCAGTGTTGGTAAGCTCTGATTTGTTTTCTTTTATTGCTTCGTGATTGGCTAGATTGTGGTGTTGATTTGGGTCGATTGTAGCGTGTAGAAGCTTTTGGAGTAATCGTTCGCTCGGAACTACCCTTGTAGGTGCCGCATGCGGCGCAACTCACCACCATCGCACGTGGGACTCATTTTCTAACCTTTATTTTTTCTAGAAACCTATTTTTGTCAAATTGGACTAGCTCAAATCAATCTAAATCAGATTTGACTGAATCGTTCAGTCAAACGGAATCGGCTGAAAGATCTGTTGACTCTTCAACCGTTAATTTTGAATAAAAAGTCAAATTTTTTTAAAATGACTATTTTATATTTTTATATGCCCTAAGTCTAAACTCAAAGTTAGTTTCGTCAAATTCGAACCTAATAATTTATTTTTTGGCGTTTTATCTCAATTCTATATGAATTTTCATGTTTAAGTTTCGTTTCTGATGCAATTCATTTTGCCTTGTATCTGAGATATTATGGGACGTGAAATTCAAGTTCAAGGGCGGTCGAAAGGAGTTTAAATGGCCGATCGATGTAGCTCGTAAATCGAGATAATACTTTACTACCTTTTGTAAGCTTTATGGTACATATTGATAGTTGGTAAATGCATGAATGAATTCAATTGATCTTATGTATACCGTTGATTGAGGTAACCCATTATGATTACGATAAGAAGGTAGTAAACTGTATAACTCGTGTAAGGAATTAGAAGATCGATAAAAAATTACGAAAGTACCCTTAAGGTGTAAAAATGATATATAGTGACCCTGATAGTGAAATTACCCTAAGAATCTGTATTTTGACCCGATAAAATTAATGATGCTCATGTTAATTCCTGATTTATTTGGAAAATCTCTTATAATCGATTTTAAACCTCAGAAAAAGCACAAGGCCTATAAACTCTGATTCTTGAATAAACGCTTGAAGATTAATTTACCGGAAGTAATGTTACTGACAGAATTGAATGAAATGACGATAATACCCTTAAAGTGTAAAAGTGACTAAGGATGACTGATAATGGAAATGACCTGAGAACTCATATTTTAATCCATTTGAACCTTGGAATCACCAATTAAATTCCCGATCTATTTGAAAACCCCTAAAAATAAACTTCTACTTTTAGAATTCTTAATACGATGATCTCTTAGTTTTTGAATGATCATTTAAAGACTAGATTACTGAAAGTGCGACACATTACTAAAGTATTTAAACGATGGATTATCCTAGAGTTTTGAAATAACCAATGTGCCCTTAGACCCCCAAAATGACTAAAAACCCTTGAGTACTAAGATGACCTAAATACCCTTATAACTTGGATTAAGTGAATGCATTTGGATTGATAATGGGAACACTGATAAACATAAATGGTGTACTGCCCCTGAAGGTTATGGAGCGTGGCACAAGTCGTCGGACATTTTGGACACTATTACAATATAGAAATAAAATAAATATCAACGGAATACTTATTCGTCTCCTCGAGAACCTATCAATGATGATTCTGATGTTGATTAGTTCAGGTAGTGCATTCAGTATTAAGAAAAGAATATTTGTGAAGGAACTCAATCTGAATTATTGGTAAGTATCGCACTATTAGGATCTAATTAGTCTGATTTGACTCGAAATTTGGATAGTTCGATATAAATCCTGGATGTCGTAAATCATCATTTTTCACCATTGGATTAAGTTACCAAAAATTCTTCAGGAATCAAAATGTCAAAAATACCCTTAGTACACTGAGTAATGGAATACCTCTTGATATACTAACTACTTACATATATATCTGAATCTTAAATGATTCTAATGAAAAGTTTTTTAATACCTTTTTGATGAACCTAAAATCCAAAATGGTCCAGAAGCATCAATTCCTGAATGTCTGATTATATCCGTTAGTAATCAAACTCTTTTTTATAGGGATCATGTCTATGAAATCTAATCAATCTACAGAAATTCTACGTTTTCCCTTCTTTATAATGATCAAGTGCCTCTGAAAAATAAATGAATCTTCTAGTGTGTTCCTTATGTGTTATATGATTGTTTTATTTGTATTAAAATTATAAATTGGTATCTGGTTGATTTACGATTTTTTTTACTGATTGATATATTGATTTATTGGTTACTTGTTTTACTAGAAAATGAAATATGTCTGATGTATGGATCAAAACTACTGGTTACTACTTGAATTGTTTTATTGGGACACTATCTGGGTAGATTGAAGTATGGAGGTTCAGCTCTGATCAAGCTGGTAAATATTTATGGACCTAAGGTGACCCTTAGGTAGGTTCTTAAGTCCTGAGATGTTCCCTTGGGTAGGCTCTCAGGCCCCAAGGTGCCTCTTTGGGTAGGCTCTAAGGCCACAAGGTACTCCCTTAGGTAGACTCTTACGCTCAATGGGCCTAGAGCAAGTCCTTATGGATGCAGTTCTAGGGAACTGCATATGGGTGTTCGGGTAGAGGGTATTACAGTGATTTTAAAAATCTATTTTCTAAAAGAAACCACTACTATTTTTAAATTATATGTACATTGTTTTTGTTTTTATAAGAACACACTAGACGTCTGTTTTCAATCTCCTTAACCTGGTCCTCTAAATATTTCTCCTAAACTATAAGCTTCTTATCTATTGCCTGAAGAAATATCAATGGAATCTCAGCTCATAACGAAAACCTGTAAATGTCTTAATCAATAAAGAAATTTTTATGTTTTTCATTTATTTGCATGTCCTTCAGCATTATCTAGTAGTTCTATATATTATTGAACTTCCCCAAAGTTCATTCTGTTACTCATCATTTCAGGTTAAAGGAGTAGATCTTAAGCAGTATCGACATTAGTATTATAAGTTCTTTTTGACGTTGCTGGCAGAGTACGGTACAAGTGTAATTAAGGGGCATGTAGGTCATTTGATTTTATATTGGGTTTGTATCTTATTTTGATGTTTGACTTCACTGAATATGTGTTTTTATTAATAAATTGTTTTACAGTTGAAATGATCTAACAAAAATTTTATTTTTTTATGAATTTTTATTGTGGGTCGCTCCAATCGCTCTAATGTGACACCCTGAATCGAATCGAATCGAATCACCCGCATCGGTCCAGGGGTGTTAGACTATAAAAAATAATAAGTCTATTTTCTTATTCGTATTTTTCTTCTCGTTCTGTTTTTTTAAATGATCTTGGGTTACACTATGCAGATGCGTGATTGTTCGAATAGTCTTTTAAAAAATAATATTTTTTTATCATCGAAGTCAATTAATAGTTTTTTGTTGTTGTTTTATATAATAAAAACAATTAATATAACGAACAAACCAACTTATGATTCTAATAATAATCAATAAAGTTACAATCAGAATGAACCCTTTAGGTACATTCCTCCGTTTATCTTTATCACGGAAATGGCAGGAAAAATTTAATCCTTACAGGCAGGAAGTATTATGCTTGGAATATGAGAAAACACAATAGAGGAAGGAGCAACAATAATTGGACGGAACATGCTCATGTTGACAGGTTCCGTAGGAGGGATACCCCCGGATGAATTTAGAGCCATTATTTTCCCATTTATAACCACATTTTGACTCTGTAAATTTCCATCTTTTGCTCTCAAATGGTACTCTTCTCTATTACCCTTCGCATTCATTCTAGAATTTGCAGACATTCTAGCAAAGTTTATTCTAGGAGCTTCACTGCTACCAGAACCTTCGGTCGATACTCGGACTCGAACGGTCGTGTTAGCACTATAGTTGATGAGAAGTAGAGTGATTCCTTGCTGTTGAAAAGGAATGCCTTACACCATTATCGACGTAGATGATCGATTTTGATACCGAAATCGGAGTTAAGGATTTACTTACAGATTGTTTGGAACAATGAGCATAAGCTCGAACACTTTTCCGTGTTTTCATCCCATAGAAGCTTGTCGACAGGACATTCTTCCCCATTAACCGATGCCAGAGAAGAGCACTGCAATATCAGTGTATCTATGAAACATTTTGCAGCATTTAGTAAGTGATTCACAGTTTCAAGTAGTACCTATAGTAATCGGGATGTGGCACAAATGTAGCAGTGTTGAGCAGACCATAGTTTCCACCAATCAATGTCTGTCTGCAGTATGTTTTGGTAGCATAGGAAGCTGCCATCCCAAGCTGATCCAAATACCTGTTTTATTACATAAACTCCCACTTAATATTCCATGTTAGAATCAAGAACAACAAGAAAAGGACAAGCTTTTACCAGAAACTATTAACAAACGAATTGCTGACACGATTTTGACCACTGTTATAAGCTCCACCGGCTTCACCAACCCAAGCCACTGCTGAAGTTGATGAATTCTTCAGAATTGCTTGAAGATCTCTAAAGGGCTGGCCTCCATCGTCTTGATAAGATGGATCCAGGATTTTGTTCATCAGCTGATTATCATTACCTGCAAAAAACAGGGAAAAGAAAATGTCTTTTTGTTTGTACTTTTCATCATTGAATCAAATGACTGTGTTTGTTGTACCTGGACGGAGGTTGTAAATGTGTTGGGTCACCACTTGAAGAGATTTGCGTGTTTTCTGTACAAATTGTGTGAACCAGTTAGTGTCAATGAATCCTCCTGGTGCAATCACTAATGGCTTAACCTCAAATCCTCTATATGTATGGTCAACAATGGTTTGAAGAGAGTTGACGTCCAATGCATATTGTTCCGCTGCAATTTTCGCCCCGATGCCGGAGCCGCACAGTTCGTTACCTGATCAACCAGATTGTCAGTTTAACAAAAATTCATTGTGTCATATGAAGAAACATGCAGGAAAAGGTAAAATTTTGCTTTAACTCTGTTGTGCATGTCGTTTACCAAGTTCCCAACCATGGATAGAATAGCCCTTGTTAACGGTGTATCGTATGAGCGATTCGGCATTGCTGGAATTCCAAGCTCCGATGACGGAACCGTCCGAACCAACCGTCCTCCCGCTTAGTGCATTTAGTCCGAAAACGACCATAGCACTGTGTTCGGAAGTCAAAACGCAACAGAAAATAAGACAAATTATGAACTTGTTGGGAATTGACAATAAGTTATTTACTTACCCAGCTTTTTTGAAGAAAACGTTGAGTTGGTCCCATCTAAACATGGGTAAGCAGCCTTTGGAAAACCCGAACAACTCGGAACTATTTTTAACAAATGGTGCACATGGAATCTTATCATCTTTTGTCCCATAAATCACAGTATCTTGCAGGGTACCTCCCATTCTGATCTTCAATGGCGAAAAGGCTACATTTTACACATAAGTGGCAGTAAGTTTTGAACCCTTTTTTAAACCCAATGGATCAAATAATTGCTTACCCTTTATAGCATTCAACAATATAGGGTTACCAAGATCCTGTAAAAGTGAAGCAGCCATTAAAATTTCAGAAAGAAGTGTGCGTGTATATATATATATATAATCAGCTTACTAGATTAAGAAGAGAAGCTCTTCCCCAGCTACATGTTCCATAGTCACATTTCTCAGGAGGCCACCAATCCAACGTAGCGCATACGAAATTATCGTCGGTTCTTGCCATCGGAGCTGTTCCGTTAAGAAGAACAGTGCCGCTAATAACATTGCCATTTGAGCTCACAAAAAGTGAGCCTTCATCCATCAAATGCTGCAGCCATAAGTACAATAACAGAAGCTTAAACAGGGAAACCATTTTATTGAACAAGCACTACCTTCTGTTAATCAGCTGGTAAATGTATGACTAAAAGGTCCAGAAATTTAGATTATATAAAAGAATCCCATTTGGTGTCAAAGAAAGGACTGGTGATATCAGCTTGAAAACCATGGATTGGTTTTTGAAGTAACCAAGTCATGCAAGGCTCATATGATTCCTTATATAAAATAAACTTTTGTAATTTATTCTACTCGGGCAGACAGGAGCTGGTGAGGACTTAATTGTCCACCATATGCATACCATTGAAGCCAATTATATTAAAATATAAATGCTTTTAATGGTATCATTTTTTAATGTTATCATTTTAAGTGTTTGGTTTATTACGACCGTAAACAAAATTGTCAATCATTTAAATGTGACAAATGTCTTGTTTATATTTTATTTTTAAAAATTTTATTAAAAAAGTTAAAATTAATTAATTTATTTTAAAAATCATATTTTTCTAAAATTGCAAAAAAAAACTCAAAAATACTAAAAAAATCTTAATTACATCATCTTATCATCGTTGACAGTCACTAATATCGTTCCCTCTGCTGGCTCTTCCACCATCCAAGCTCTCTTTCCACCCTACGCTATGCTCCCCCGGTGTAGGCTTACCACGCTTCACACCCGCGAGAAGGACGATGAAGTGATGATTAGTGATGGTAAAAACGATGAAATTAGGGATTTTAAGAATTTTTAGGAATTTTGATTTTTTTTTTTTTTGTGATTTTAGAGAAATTTAATTTTTAATAATAATTTTAAATTTTTTAAGACACTTTGAAAATTTATAAACGAGTCATGTGTTAAGTGGATGATGTTTTTTTAAAGATCGTAATCGATCAGACACAGAAAAAGATAACATTAAAAATGTTGGATACCTAACTTGATCAAAAAATTTAGACACTTAAATTTAACAAGAGATGAAATTTGAATATTTGTTTTAATTAAGCCTATAATTTATTCTACTGGGGCAGACCGGAGCTGGTGAGGACTTAATTGTAAGTTTTTCTGAGGAATATAAATGATAATTGCAACAAAAGAAAGAAACACAAAAGGGCGTAAGCAAGCCAACTTTTGACTTACAAGAACCTGTTTGCAGAATACATAAAATTAGAAGCATCCATCAATTATTTGCCTATAATATATATATATATATATATATATATATATATATATATATATATATATATATATATATATAACACAAGAAACTTGGGGTTGGCAAGATATAAATAAAGAAGATAAGGAATTTTTTTTAGTATGTAACTGGTAATGGAGAGCTTGCAGTTAGAGGTGGGTATACGGGCTATCCGCCCGTTTAGTCCGCGGGTTTTGACGGTACGGACTTAAACGGAGCGGGCTAAAAAGCCCGCATTCATAAACGATTTTGAATTAAATAAAAATAATTTTAAATACTTTAAATGCAATAAAAAATAATGTTTTAACTTACTACACCTTTAAAAATGATCGAGCAACTTGAAAAGGAAAGTAGCACCGTCAAAATAATAAATAATATTTAAATTTTATTTTAAATAGCCGAAAATGATTATAAAATAATATTTTTTTATTTTTTTAATCATTAATATATATATATATATATAATGATATAATTACTTAAACTCAAATTAAAAAAAAACAATATTCACTTATATCACCAAATTGAAAAACAAATAAAACAATAACCACATTATACTTTTATAAAACACGATTATTCAAGGCTATAATATGAAGACACAGAAGTGTCTGAATTCTGAAAGCATAAATTCAAACATACAAATTCAACAAAGTCAAACATTATACAAATCTAACAAGAAAGTTATCAAGTGATCCTAATAATTGTATTTTATAGATACTTTAGAGAAAGACTAAAATATTATATAAAAATATAAAATAAAATACTTACAATATAAGTGTAAATTTGAAAGATACATTTATATTAAAATTGATAAAATATAAGTAATTAATTTGTTAAAATATATTTATTTTGTAAAAGTCTTTAAAAGTTGAAAAGTATGTTTCAATTTTTTCTTTTACTTTTCTTTCTTATTTTTAATCTAAATATTACATGTCATGTGATATATTATTAGAATATCACGAGACTTTTTATAATTAAAGAACAAAATGGATAACATACTTCATGAAAAAAAATAAAGGTCAAAATTAATAAAAGAAATCTTTAAATACCAAAATGATAATGATATATATTTAAATGAAAAAAATATCAACCAGCGGTAAAATTATGACAAACGTTCTAATAAATATAAGAACTACAATAGTTATAAGAACTACAATAGTTATAAGTAACATCATATTTATAGGTAATTTATTTTCTTTTTCTATAAAATTCTTTAAGTTTATTTTCTCTAAAATTTTATGAATTTTAAATTAAGCGGACTTTAGCGGGTTTCGCGGGTAGCCCGCGGTTATACCCATTAAACCTGCGGATTTAACGGTCTGGGCTAAAAAATTCGCAATTTAAACGATCTTCAATTTTTAAGACCCGAAACCCGCACGAGTCGCGAGTTAAACGGATAGCCCGCGGACCTTATCCCATATAGCCAACTCTACCTGCAGTTCACCAAACCTATGATGGAGCCCAAAGGGGTTGGCAATTAGAATAGTGTATCATTCTGCTCAACATGATTAAACAAACAGTTAAAATGTCAACTAACTTGGGATCCCCGCCACTAAAATAATGTGTTTATTGTAAGAATTTTTTAAAAAGATTGGTTTTCACTTTGAAAACTGGCAAAGGCAATGCCAACTTTGACAATAGAAGATGTACGACTGCATAATCCTTCTTGATTGCTACAAGACATTGCACCAACCTTGTTGAGTGCAGGAGAGGTGAAACTTTAATCTTAAATTTCTTCATTTGTTTTTATCCATATTTCTTGGCTCTCAAATTATAGATACTTTCATGTTTAGTGTTTAATCTTTGTTTGGTTTATTTAATTTTATTATGACAAATACTTATTTGCCGCTGACAAATGATTTTGCAAGTTGATGTTTCGAATAATGTAGCAGTAAAGTGTAAGCATACACAATCGTCTACCAAGTAATAAAGTGAATGCACTTGCATGCGTCGAGTATGGTATCCCATAGAGACTAGTGATTGCTAATAGAATTGTTTTGCAACAAAACATAAAAGTATATATAATTGATGTAGTGAGCAATATCATCACAAGTAATTAAAGTAGAATAAAGATGTAAGAGTTTGTAGCACAAATAAATGAAGCAAATGATCGATTCAAGTAAAAGATTGTGAAAAGTCAAACAACATCACGCAATCAACAATGTTGTAACAACAAGATCAACGTGCCTAGCGTTAACCTAGCAAATTATACTTCTCTCGAAAATATTCACCAACAACTTATAAAGAAAAATTATATCTCTATAGCAATCCAAATAAGCATACCAAAAATGCTACAAAAAAACAGTTAGCAAAAATTTCTTTTACGCTAAATGTTGCTCTCACAATCATGATGTAACTCGCCTCTCGGCACAATGATAGACATTTTATATTTCTATAAATGAACTAAAATTAAAGTTCAAGTAACATCAATCAAGCTACTAAGACAAGGCTATAATAAACATGCATTTCATCAAATATATTCAAAACACAATATCCAAGTTTAACATCTCAATATAAAATAAAAGTATTTCATCTTAAACAAATAAAATCTTCATTCTTAAATTCAATTCCAAATTGCTAAGATGAAGTCCAATCAATCGTCGACCACCATCCTCTCGACAACAATTGCTCCACGTCTGTGTGTTGCTCTCCCCTAAAGAACTTAAGCCTCCATGGCCAATGGAGGAAAGAAAGGAGAAAACTAATTATAAAATCAATGATGAAAAAAGGGTGGAAAGTGTGAATAGATGTCCCTTTTATAATCCTCCAAGGTTAAAGCATCATTTAATAGGAAAAAAAATCTTTTTTTTCAATTCTCAGCCTCTTTATTGAAGAAATGGACAGATATCTGATCACTATTTACATTATAGGAACGAATTTGGGATAAGAAACCCACAGTGACCGTACATGATTTATGCTATTAGGTTGTCCATTTGAACCTAGATCTTGGGATCTCTAGTAAACTAGGTAGGGTTTTTCTTCACATAAAACCATTAAATTTCATGTGCTTTAGTCACATTCCTTGAGATGTTTTCTCAACTTGATCTCGATTGAACTCTTTGGTTAGGGGATCTGTAATGTTATCCTTTGATCTTACAAAATAAGCATAGATAACTCCATATGAGATCAGTTGTCTATGGTATTATATCGACAACTCATATGTCTTGACTTACCATTATACTTGAAATTCTATGCTAATCACAGTATATGCATATTGTGGGTACATGTTTCAATCAATTAAGAATATCCTCCAAGAAATTCCAAAGCTATTCAGTTTATTCTCTAGACTTATCTAGAGCTGCAAACTCATATTCCATTATAAATTGGGTTATAACTGTTTCCTTAAGGATTTTCATGACACAACCTCTCTTTCTAATGTGAAACATATTCACTTGTGTCGTTGATATCTTGAATATCAAATTCCAACTTGTATCGGTCTATCCTTCCTATATTGTAGGATAGTAAAAAATTAACCCGTATGAGTTAAGGATGACCCGTATTTGTGGAACTTAGCCCATGAGGGACATAAATAGCAAAAGGTACCTAGAAACACTTTAAGAAGTGGGTTATGAATGAAGTAACCATAGTATACGTAATGCGTCTAAGTATCATCAGTCGAGCATGTAGTAAGTAATTGAGAATAAAGGATCGTTGTAGAGGGTGTACCAATAAACGATACGATAAGCTAATCAGATTACGAAATAGAGGAATCGTGTACTATAAGAACATCACTACTCAGCAATGAACCTGAGTCAGGTATCTAGCTAACAAGTAATACAATCAGTGAACAACAGGAATAATAACTGTTGTAAAATCACGAAACACAAAGAGACCTTCTTAGAGATAAAATGACTAAAATGCT